TGCTGAAAATCAGCCCCGCAAACCCAAACAACTTTCTACATAATAAGAATCTGTAAGAATTCTGAAAATCATCTGCTTACATCTATACCCTCTTTTTCTATATAGACTTGTAATTTACAGCATCCTAATTTTTATTTGCTTCCTTTATTTCCAATCTAAATTTTAAGCCCGAAGTCTGTCTCTGAGACACCTTAGCTATTGAGAACTTGTTAGATTTTTTGAAATTGCTTGGAAGACACTGGATAACTTAAAATAGGAAACATTAAGAATTGACATGAAAGTCCAAATAATTGCCTTACTTCATATTTTATTTAATCATATTTAATACTCAGCAAATGTACCAGCCTTAGATGGATTCAATTGGGATTCACAAACTCACTTTTTTTCCGTTTCAGTAGGAATTTAGAGCTGATTTGCTGGCGATTGGCCAGACTAAAAAGAAAGTAGAATTAAACAGCGGGCAAATTCTCCATGATGGGTTCCGTTTATTTTATAGTCTATATTTTCCCCTTTCCCTTAATTGTTTCTTGGAAGAGACTGTCCACTAGATCTGTGAGTCATCCAGAGAAATGAACTGGCCACAAATAACGCTCATACAAACTGTCCTACACCCAGAGTTTCTTGGCCAGTATACCCAAAGCACTCTCAGCAGGTGAGCCAGGGAAGAGACTACACCCTGGGCTGGGGGCCTTGTAACTGCTTGGCACTTGGTGAGGGAGCCATATGCCAGGACCTGCAGTGCAGTGGGGTGCCGGGTCAGTTCCCCCAACACTTAGGGGGCTTCCTGGTCTTTTTAACCAACAGTGTATGTATAGGTTGTACCTCAAGGACTAGGCTAATTAAAACAATTTCTACTTATGGAAAAAGGCCCAATAATTTTAATAGATATGTATGATATTGGGGGTGGGGGGGCAGTGAATGGGGGAGGAGGTTGTCACTTTGTGAGGGGTGAAAAGGATAACTAGTGCATTGTTTTGTACACCTGAAACTAATGATAATAATAAATAAATAAATAAATACATGGAAAAAGGCCCAAGAAGTCGGTGAATAACTTCTGATAAAACACCACTGCACAGTAATTGCCTCCTCTCACCTCTTTAAAGTATGAATTTTAATTTTCTGGTTTCTTTTGTTCTTACTTTTGCAAAGGAAATAGTATTCACTGTAGATAACCTGGAGACTGAAAAACCACAAAATAGAAAATTAAAATCACCCATAATTCTATCACCTGAAGATGATCGCTATTAGCATTTTGATCTATTTTTCTCTAGTCTACTTTTCTAACACATGTAACACACACACACACACACACACACACACACACACACACACACACACATATATATATATATATTTTTAGGTATAAGTTGAAGTCACAAAATACATACTGTTTGTAACCTATATTTTCCTTTTAATGTATTATACTTCCAGAATCTTTAAGTATTCTTCAAAAACATTATTGTAATAACTCCCACAGTATTCATTTATTGTTATAAAAGGTACTATAATGAGCATTCTTACCCATAAGTGTTTGTACATATTTCTGCATTTTTCTTTAGGGTACATTCCCAGAGATGGAATTACTGGGTTACGATATATATACTTGTCAGGCTGAGTTACCCACCTGAAATGCTGCAGGACCCCCTACTCTCACTCATCTGTGTGTAAGTGCCCACTTCTGTGGACACTAGCTAACATTGGGCGTCATACTTCCTTTGGTCTGTAAATCTCTTAAGTGAAAAAGTAGTATCTTGTTTTAATTGCTAATCATGTGTTTATTGGCCCTTTGTTTATTTTCTTATTAAGGTGGTTTTTGTATTGTTATCAAAATATTACTCTTTTGTCTGTCTTGTGTTAGAATTTTCCCCCCCATTTTGTCATTTGCTTTTTAATACTGTAAATGGTTTCTTTTGATATATAAAAATTTAAAATCTCACCAATCCATCCTATCAAATTTTTTCTTGGATGTTTTGGCTTTCGTTTCAGTGTTATATAAAGACTATAAACCAAGAACAAATAGAAATTCATCTCTTTTCTTTATAGTTCATTTATGTTTTCTTACATCTAGATTTTAAAACTTCATCTGGAATTTTTTTTTGATATATGATGTGGATCTCACTGTTTTTTTCCTGTGTTAAACAGTTGTTCCCCCAACCTATTCCAAATAGCCCATTCTTTCCCCCACTGTTTTATAATGCTACCTTTGTCAATTGTTAAAACATGCTCTTGAATCTATTTCTGAGCTTTGTTTTGTTCCATTGATCTGTCCATTGTACCAGTACTGAACCATCATCAAATAGTACAAACTTACTGTTATTATTCTTCACTTTCAGTGTTCTTGGCTGTTTTTACTAATCTGTTTTTCTAGCTCAGAGGTCAGCAAACTTTCCGAAAAGACCAAATGGTAAATATTTTCAGCTCTGAAGGCCATATGGTTTGTCACTGCTACTCAATTCTGCTCTTGTCGCACAAAGCAGCCACAGACAATAGTAAAGGAGGCTGCACTTCAGTAAAACTTATTTACAAAACAGGCTGTGTGGGTTGATTTGTCCTGAGAGCCATAGTTTGCCAACCCTGTTGTAGGTGAATTTTTTAGTCATTTTGTCAAGTTCTTCCATCCTCTTACCTCCCTCACAAATACACAAAAAGAATTTGTGTGTGTGAGTATATAGATACATGCATACATACTTTTGATGTGTATATGTATATATATGGAGAGAGAGGAATTCGGTTAAAATGACATCATAGTTATAAAATGATTTGGGAGAAATGTGACATCTTTATAACAAAAGGTCTTCCCATCAGACACCATCAAGCATTCCTTTATGTCTATCACCTTAGTTTTATGGTTTCCTTCATATAGGTCCTGCAAATTTCTGGTTAACTTTAATCCTTACAGTGTTTTTCATTGTAATTGCCATTGTGACTGGGATCTGTGTTGGTGGTCCCATGACCCCCACCTCTTCCGTGACTTGCCATAAGGATCACGGGACTCAGAGGCAACTGCCTCTGCATTCAGGGCTCAGCAAGGGGAAAAGACTGATCAAGAGGGCCTGAGGAATCTGCACCCAGGCACCCCTTTGGCTCCCTTTCAGCAGGAGGGCTCACCCAGCATGTGCTCCTTCCTCTACCACCGAAAAGCAGTAACCATGATTGTGCATAGATTTTCAGAAATACTGTCTCCACTTGTGGCTTTCATCTCACATCTAGGTAGTGTTCTTGCAGAGCATGCACAGTCTGTTTTCCATTCACGGAGAGAATGTGATGCACGTGGGGTGGCTGGCAGAAGGCCGGCTCTCGCACTCACCACCTTGGTTGTCACCACAGTCCCAAAATTAAAGCCCTTAGGTTGAAGCTTTGGGAACAGCCTCTCTCCCTGCTTTTTATTGTAACTCCTCTCCATAGTGGATCATCAGAAGTGTTCATCTCACTCAGCTCATTCAAATTAAAGAAACTCCTTCACTGCAGTGTGAAGAATCTTGGAAAACCTATTTATTATGAGTGGAAAAGCTCAAGCCCTTCTTAAGACTTGCTTAACTTAACTTGTCAGAGAAGACTGGTTCTCTTTGTAGTTTGACCCTGCTTTTACCAAAAAGACTAGAGGAAACAAAGCTGCTTCTGCTGCAGGGAATCAGAGACAAGCTTCCACACCCAGTCCCTTGATGGACCAGGGAGCACCCACACTGTGTTGATTCTGTAACCGTCTCAGCCCTTCTCTCAGTTACCTTTTGTCCCCAGGCCTCCAGCCTCCTAGAGGCTAAGGAATGGCTAGAATTTTAATTGTTTCTTAACCCTGAAATTCATCCAAGAAATGGCATGGCCTAGGCTTCTGTGAGTGAGACCCTTAAAATGTAAACAAAGCTGAGTTAATTAACAAAAGATCTGACTGTGATGTAAGTAACTTGTGTAAGGGCCTCCTTCCCCAGCTGTTTTGGTATGTGAGTTGCAGCAAAGGAGTGAAGCAGAGAAGGCTCTGAGCCCCTCCCAAGGTGAGCTCCCCGAGGACTCATGTCTGCCCCTCAGGGCAAAGCTTCAGAGGCCAAGGGGCTGCCATCAGGGAGAATCTCTTCCCATTCACAGGCTTGCCAAGATCTGAGTGATAGCCAGCAAGTCTTAACTTCCCAATCTGCTTTCTTCCAACTTGTCTCAGGATTACACAAATCCTTTCAAGTTTCAAGTTCCTTTGTCTTCCCCTAAGATGCTTCTCGCTCTTCTCCTCAGTTCTTTCTGTCTTCATACTTTACTGTAGCATGAACTGTCTTGCCTCCCTGTTACTCCATTTCAGACATCCCTTGACCCTTTTATTTGTAGTCATGTTTATATTTCAGACACATTTCTTGCCTATAACAGGCAAAAATACATTGTAATATATATAAAACTAGGCAGGGAACTAGCCCACTGACGGATACAGCCAATTTACTTCACAAATAAATAAATTATGAACTCTTAGAGCTTTAAGATGTAGGTTTAGTCATGGGTTGTTCATGGAGAATGTTGCAACTTAGTTTAGTTAGTTCTCCATAAAATAGGGCCACTCTTTTCTCCCTCCCTACCACTTTTTTACCTGACCATTTACTTGTAGGTATTCAGGAAACATCAGTTAAATTTAATATTAGCCCAAACAAAACATAATTAGGAAGGTAAGGCAGCCCCAGAAATATTACATGTCTATTTCCAAAATTTACTACCTGTCTCCTCTTCTCATCTTCCCTCCCCTGGTACAGATTATCCAACCCACCCTCCTTTTGCATTAAACTGAATAATTGAGGAATACCCCAAATATAATAATTAGGGTTTAAAGCCTCTTAGGATTCAAAGACCTCACCAAGCTATTGTATTTAACTGCATTTAAAAGTGGACTCTTAAGTGGTTTATTGATTCCAGTGAAAAAAAGAGCCTCCGTTCACGTGTGTGTCCCTGACCAGTGGGGATGGTGTCTGCCTAGTGCAGGTTTCGCATGTGACTCCTCTGTAACAGAATGTCATTTGGATCTATTTCAGAGTTCCCTGAGAAGAAGAGGCAGTCGGGAAATGTACAAAGAAAAGAAAACCTTTAACCAGGTAAGCAGAGGTTTCATTCTAATGTTACATCTCCTCAAGAGGCAATCAACTCACTTTGAATTCTCTCAAAAAGTGTTAACATTGTCTTTAAAATGTTCAAAGAAGCACTGCCTGCCAAAATTTGGACTCATTCAAAACTTCCATGGTGAAAATTTTCTTTCCAAACCAACAGCTCCTCCCTTTTGTTTCTCATACTGATAAGCCGTTGATTCCTTCAAGAAAGAGAAGATCTTACAGATTAGCTTTGTGTGGAGACATAATTTGGTGCAGTTCAAGGCTCTGGCAGTACTCATAGCTGGTAAAAAGCATTTTGGCCTTCAAAGTCATTCACACAGTAAAATAGTATAGCTACTGTAATGTTGGGTCATTCATAAGGCAATTTTTTGAATTTTTTTTTAAATGAGCAAGCTTAACAGTATCTTAAATTGTCCTAAATGAAAATAAAAAGGTCTTGATGAAAAGTGGTAAAAATGTAGCCCTTTCTATGTACATGGTGTGATCTTCAGAACTTTCTTAGCTTTTCTGAACACTTGTTTTACTGGATTCTTTCTTTTCTTTTTCTTAAAAAAAAATAATTACTGCTAGTATTAGGTGCTAGAGAGAACAAAAGCATTACTGGGATGTCAGCTCCCCAAGCTCTCAGAGCAAGTAGTAATTAGACACAGTAAGTCTGGGTAACTAAGAGCTCTATTAGCCTGCCTCTGTGAATTCCACACTGATTCCCTTTGGTTTCTTGATTTTTCCAAACTTGCTGATCCCCAGAGTACCCGTCAGGGAGGGCCAGGCCATGTGAACAGCAGGAATGCCAAAAGTTCACTGCTCCCTTTCACCCTCTCTACTCCCCTAGTCTCACTTTGGCATCCGCTAATAACAGGGAGATTAAAATCTGTCATCTCACTGCTGTGTGCTTGAAACCTCCTGGGCTTTGAGTATGTTTCAGTGTACTGGCTCTTGACCAGGGAAGATCTTTTCCTTAAAAGGGTAACTGCTGCCCCGTTCTGGAATGAACAGCATGGCATTGCCTTCACCTGTGGGTAAATCAGGCTGAAAACAGCCGCTGCTGCCCCTCAGGAGAGGTTGAGAAGCCCCGGGCACCGGGAATGTGTTCAGTCCCCCCTCAGCCTGCAGTATCATTGAGAAAGGAGTTTCTGTCCAGCAGAGTGGTGGAACGGAGCGCCTTGGGAACTGCAGGTCTGCAAACAAAACTCAAAGGAAACTGGCACCCCGGCGCAAGGTAGGAATGGGAGCAGTCAGCGCTTGGGGTGCTGGCTAGACATCAGACTTGCAAGCCAAAGAATATATACCCATAGCGATATATTTTTGTTGCTTGACAAGGCCTTTTGGCTGGTGGTGGTGGTGGTGGTGGTGGTGGTGGCGGTGGTCCTGTGTGTGTCCTCCCCTCCGTGCCATGCTTGCCTTCTCTGCCTGCAACAGGAACCATGTCATGTGGAAAGTTTGACTCAACCTTCTGCTTTCGTACTGCATTCCTGGAGCTACCTGATGATCTCTTGAAACTATAGCTTGATGTCCTTCAGCTTAGGATTCGGCCTAGACCCCTCCCCTGGAGTTTTGGAAACATTTTAGAAAGCCTACGGTTACAAGATAAGATGGGTAGCCAGCCTTGTGCAGCTTTAGCTGAGGCTGTGATTCTCCATTTTGTTATATTGAGTAACTTCCCGCTCCCAGAACAGGCTGAGTCCAGCTTGCCGGGCCTCCCCTCTCCCACACACTGGCCCGAGAAGGCACAGTGCCTTCTCCAGCTGCCTTCACAGAGTGAAGAAGTCTGACCCCTTTGTTAGATGCACACACTCCCTTGGCTTGAAAGATTATCATCCTTTCAAAAACTGCTTTAGTCTTGGTGGCAGGCTTAGTAGCGCATGGGTATTGAGTAGAAATGACAGCATGCTTTAATCATGTGTCTGAATTCCTGGTGTGTATATAGTTCTTTCCTTAAGGAACAGGAAGACTTTTTGGATATTTTATCGAAACTTAGGTAATCTACAAATCAGACACTTATTAGAGTATGTCATAGAATCTTGCTTCTTTAACTGACCTGGGTTTAGGTTCAAGGGGACAGAGGATAATGGTTCTGGTTTATAGTCAGACTTGGGGAATGGCAGATGGAAGGAAAATGGTGCAAGGTTTAAGGTTTCCAGAAATAAAGGCAATTTGAAGGCTTTTTAAGATTTTCTGCCCTAAGCATTTATAACCAAGTGTTTCAGAACCCTTGTGGACGGCCCAGGTTTCTTGTACCTCTCAGAGATCCTACTCATTTTCTCAAATTGTTAGTTCAACTTTTGGGTAAAGATCCTCAGTAGAGATCTTGGTTTGAGACAAAAGCTTCCTGAACTATGAAGTTCACTTTGCCCCTCATCTGCTCTTTTCTGGCCTGGCCTCTACTACATCAAGGCCTCATAGATGCAAGTTTCCATGGAAATAGGGTCAGGGCATTGGTCACAGCCGGTGGTCCTGCTTGAGGTGGGCAGAGGGCAGAGTTCCCTTGTGGCTGCAGATGACATTGTCTTCCATGACTTCTGTTGTTCTCCTCAGGCATGAAGGTGAATTTCTCTGCTTCAAGGTGGAGATAGGATCACTTAGGTGATTTTGGACGAAGGATAAACACTGGCTATCAAGTTAATGATGGGGCTAAGGGCTCTACCCTGTCTTCTTTCTATTTATTTATTTATTTATTTATTTATTGTGAAATAAACATTTTTTTAGTTTCAGCTGTACAACACAGTGCAATAGTTATACTTTTTACCCCTCAAAGTGACAACCCCCCTCCCCCAATCCCCCCCCCCCCCCCCCCCCATATCATACATATCTATTACAATTCCCTTGACTCCACTCCCACACTATACTCCATGTCCCGTGACTATATATATATATATATATATTTTTTTTTTTTTCACTTATAGTTGACATACAATGTTATACAACATCAGCTTCAGGTGTACAGTGCAGTGATCAAGCCTCTACCCCATTCATGAAGTGGCCTCCCTAACAAGGCATGTGACCATCTGACACCCTACAAAATATTTACAACATTATTAATTATATTCCCTGAACTGTCTTTCATATCCCTGTGGCAATATTGTAGTTATCTGTCTAATCCCTCCCCTTCTCTCTCATCTCCACTCCCCTCCCAAATAGCAACCATCAGCTGTTCCTCTATATCTCTAAGACTATTTCTGTTTACTTTGCTCGTCCATTCAGTTTTTTAGATTCCACATATAAGTGAGATCATGTGGTATTTGTCTTTCTCCGACTGACTTATTTCACTTAACATAATAGTCTCTAGGTCCATCCATATTGCTGCAAATGGTACGATTTCATTCTTCTTTATGGCGGAGTAATACTCCATTGTATAAATGTACCACAGTTTTTTAATCCAGTCGTCTACTAACGGGCATTTCGGTTGTTTCCAAATCTTGGCTATTGTGAATAGCGCCGCAGTAAACATAGAGGTGCATATATTTTTTCGAATTAGCGTCTTGGGTTTCTCTGGATAGATACCCAAGAGTGGAATTGCTGGGTTATACGGTAGTTCCATTTCCAGTTTTTTAGATACCTCCATACTGATTTTCATAATGGCTGCACCAATCTGCAATCCCACCAACAGTGTACCAGGGTTCCCTTTTCTCCACAGCCTCGCCAGCACTTGTTGTTTGTTGATTTATTGATGATAGCCGTTCTGACCGGAGTGAAGTGGTACCTCATTGTGGTTTTTATTTGCATTTCTCTAATGCAAAATCACTAATGATTAGTGAGGTTGAACATTTTTTCATATGCCTGTTGGCCATCTGTATGTCCTCTTTAGAAAAATGCCTCTTCATATCCTCTGCCCATTTTTTAATTGTGTTGTTTTTTTGGTGTTAAGTTGAATGAGTATTTTATAAATTTTGGATATTAACCCCCTTATCAGATATATCATTGGCAAATATCTTCTCCCATTCAGTAGGCAGCCTTTTTGTTTTATTGATGATTTCCTTTGCTGTGAAAAAACTTTTAAGTTTGATGTAATCCCATATGTTTATTTTTTCTTTTGTTTCCCTTGCCCGAGGGGATATATCAGTAAAAATATTACTCAAGGTAATGTCTGCAAATTTACTCCCTATGTTTTCTTCTAGGAGTTTTATGGTTTCAAGGTCTTACATTTAAGTCTTTAATCCATTTTGATTTGTTCTCATATTGGTGAAGTAGGTGGTCCATTTTCTTTTTTTTTTGCATGTGTCAGTCCAATTTTCTCAGCACCATTTATTAAATAGGCTATCTTTACTCCAGTGTAAATTCTTGTTTCCATTGTCATAGATTAGATGACCGTATGTGGAAGGGTTTATTTCTGGGCTCTCTATTCTGTTCCATTGGTCTATGTGTCTGTTTTTATGCCAGTACCAAACTGTTTTGATTACTGTAGCCTTGTAGTATGATTTAATGTCGGGTAGCGTGATACCTCCCACTTTGTTCTTATTTCTCAAGATTGCCGTGGCTATTCGGGGTCTTTTATGGTTCCATATAAATTTAGTATTATATGTTCTATTTCTGAGAAAAGTGTTCTTGGTAGTTTGATAGGAATTGCATTGAATCTATATATTGCCTTAGGTAGTGTTGACATTTTAACTATATTAATTCTTCCTATCCATGAACATGGTATGTATTTCCATTTATTTGTGTCTGCTTTGATTTCTCTCTTCAATGTCTTATAATTTTCTGAGTACAGGTCTTTTACTTCTTTGGTTAAATGTATTCCTAGGTATTTTTTTTTTAAGTAATTGTAAATGGGATTGATTTCCTGATTTCTTCTTCTGATAGTTTATTATTGGTGTATACAAATGCAACTGATTCCAAATATTAATTTTGTATCCTGCTACCTTACTAAATTCATTTATCAGTTCTTCTACCCTGTCTCCTTGACCCAGGTTTTTCACTCCAAACCTAATCCATTTACAAATCATTTATAGTCTGTCTCCACTGATTTATGAGGAATCTAGGTTTAACAAAAAATTGAAAGGGGGCTCTTGATTGTCTTACTTTAGAAAGTTTTATGAAGTTGGGGTCATTTAAAAGTAAAATGCCAATTTTCTCTACATAGTAGGTACTCAGTACTTATGGAAAGAGTGAATAAGTCCACAAATAAGCATGCTTTCCCTTAGTATTAGGATTGACTATAATTTATGTCTTTCACAGCCCATCTATGTATGCAAGTCCTTTAAAAATATATATATTACCCAGCAGTGATGATAACCTATTTTGCTCAGTGTGAGTAGGCAGACAGCTTTATTTCCAGTTAGTCATAGAAACGCTTTTTATGTCTGCTTAACCAAAACAAACGAATTCTTTAGTGGGGGTAATTTCATAGAACATGAAGACCATGCTCTCCTACTAGTGGTATTTATGTTACTCTCTAATGTGTAAAGTGGGTTAAAAAAAAGCAGAGTTATTGGCTCCTTTCCCAATATTAATTGCATTTTGGACAAGGCAGAAAGTTAATTTCTGGTACCCACTTTGTTGTACATTATTCCATTTGTACATTACTCACAACAACCTTGTAAGTGAGTGAGGATCCTGCTTTAGACATAAGGAGATGGGTTTACCAGGGCTCTGTGACCAGCCCCTGGTGCCATGGACAGAAGGGGCAGAAGTGGGGCTCAGGGCAGCATGTCTGACCCAGGCCCAGCAGGACTGGGTTTTCCTCTGCTAAGAGGATGGAAATGGGAGCGTCGTCTCTCAGAAGACACACAGACAGCGCCAGGGCCTGCTTTCCAGATGGCACTGGCTCACACTTAGCCTTAGATTTTTCTTTGAGTCTTCCCCGTCACATCATTTTTTTTTTCTTTCATGGGTTTGTGATGTGGGGAATGGGGGTCTAGGCAGGTGGAAGGAGGAAAGTTGGGGACACCAAGGGAGTTCTTTCTGACTAATGGTGAGAGTGCAGCAAGAACATGGCAGAGAATGAGTGTGAAGGCTGCGTCAATTCTGCTAGATCATTTGAGCAAAAAAGATGATCTCAGAGAGTTCATTCTCCCCCATGCTCTGGGTTGACTTGTTCCAGAGATTAGTTTGATAACTCTTTCTGCCCTGGGGATGGTGGACTTTGACTACATTCCAGCATGATGTTGAATTTCTCTGTGATGGGGGAAGCCTTTGCTGAAGTCTTTGTTCCCATGGCATCCCTTTGAAACTTCTGATAACCGATCAAAGAGGAATGATTTATGAAGGTGGTCATCCTTTCCCATTCAGTGAATGTGACTGAAACCTAAATCAGAGATTTCAAGTGGCTTCAAGGCTTTGAAATGTGTACTACGAAGGCAGAGTCAACTTTCCAATTGGCCAGAAATTGTCCTCTTGACCTCAGCCAAGAGATGTGAGCATTTATAGCAGTAGTAGAGAGTCTACTTCAGTGACCCTCCAAAATCCTCTGGTATTCCAATGAGAACCACCTCTCAGGTTTTGAAACACTTACCTCCTTGCCTTGGGTTTCTGAGATTACTTTCCGGCTGTGTTACAGCAACTGAAGGGAGTGGAACGTAGCCCAAAGCTCTGAAGTTGCACTTGCATGGCAGAAGGTTGTGAGTAACCCGGGGGGTTAGGTTTGCAGTAAGCAATTCATACTAACCATCAGAGCTTGGTACTTACTCCACACCTTGATTCCCAGAGCACCTTCATGCCTTATCATCTCATAATTTTGCCCTCATGTCATTCTTGTGATATGCTGGGGATGGGGAGACCGAGGGAGGAGAAGAGGTGAATTGCCATGTTTCAGATTCTCAGCAAATTATTCGAAAGCCAGGTTCTGATTTAGGGTCACCTGTCCTCCCCCTCCTGGTAATACATGTGGGTTGCTGGCCACTTTGGATGAGGGAGGTCTGCACAGTGGAGAAAGTGAGTGGCAACAGGTAGAAGTGGCCACTGAAGCCTGTCTGCCTGCACCAGGCTTAGCGAGGGGATCTGGTGTCTCCTACTAGTGCTGGTGATTAGTCAGATTGGACCACAAACTAATGAGCGATTGCCGCATTCCTGGTAGGTGCTGGATTTCATTTCATTTTCTCCCTCTTCACTCATCAGCTATATGATGGTTTTTGTGTGCATGTTATTTCCAAACTAATTGTTTGGTTTCAGCAACAGACTGCAGGTCTTGGTCAAGTCCTCTCCATGAAGGCCCTGTTTCCATTTGGCTTTGTTTTGGCCTCTTCTACATGTAAACCAACACACTGACAGAAAGATTGGTGTTTTGTGTTTGTGTGTGTATAGGGGGCGAGGTGTAAGGAAAATCATCAAAAACATGAACATTTGGTATTTTCAAATAACCCTTCTCTCGGGCTGTTCTTTCCTGGCAGGATGACAGTGCCGATTTGAAGTGCCAGCTTCAGTTTGCCAAAGAGGAAGGTTCCCTGATGCGTAAAAAGATGGCCAAGCTGGGGAGGGAGAAGGACGAGCTGGAGCAGGAGGTCCAGAAGTACAAGGCCCTGTATGGCGACGTGGACAGCCCCCTGCCCACAGGGGGAGCGGGTGGGCCGCTCAGCACCAGGGAGGCCGAGCTGAAGTTGCGACTGAAGTTGGTGGAGGAAGAAGCCAACATCTTGGGTCGGAAGATTGTGGAGCTGGAGGTGGAAAACCGAGGCCTCAAAGCAGAGATGGAGGATATGCGGGGTCAGTATGAGCGAGAGGGTCCAGGCCGGGACCACATCCCAAGCATTCCTACCTCACCCTTTGGGGACTCCCTGGAGTCCTCGACAGAGCTCCGCCGACACCTACAATTTGTGGAGGAGGAAGCGGAGCTGCTTCGAAGGTCCATATCTGAGATTGAAGACCACAACCGGCAGCTGACTCATGAGCTGAGCAAGTTCAAGTTTGAGCCTCTGCTGGAGCCCGGATGGCTGGCAGACAGTGGGGGCAAGGGTGGGGTTCCCCTGCAGGAGGAGCTGACGTCTGCCAGGCTGCAGATCAGTGAGCTGAGTGGGAAGGTGCTGAAGCTGCAGTATGAGAATCGGGTGTTGCTGTCCAATGTTCAGCGCTATGACCTGGCCGCCCAACTGGGCCTGCGTGCCCTGAGTCCCCGGGACAGCGATGCTGACAGCGACACGGGCAAAAAGGAGAGCGATGGGGAGGAAGGCCGCCAGCCCCAGCCCAAGCGGGAAGGCCCCATTGGTGGGGAGAGTGACTCAGAAGAAGTATTTGAGAAGACATCGGGCTTCAGCAGCGGAAAGTCGTCGGAGGTCAGCAGGCCATGTCCGGTGGAGGTCCTGAGGGCCAGGGAGGACTCTGAGTGCTTGGTAAGCATAAAACAGGAGGCCGAGCGGCTGGAGCGGACCATGGAGAGCCTCATCATGGACACCGACACCTTTGTGGACAACGTGGCCTCACTGGGGCCTGGTGTCCAGGGGGAAGGAGGAAAGAAGGAGCCCCAGCTGCTGGCGGCCATTAACGCCAGGATGAAGGCTTTCAGGAAAGAGCTCCAGGCTTTCCTGGAGCAGGTGAATCAGATTGGAGATGGCCTGAGGGAGCGCCTGGAAGGCCTGTCCCCCTTCCCCCACCTCACAGAGTCTTCCAACTTCCTCTCCACTGTGACCTCCATGTCCCGGGACTCCCCCATCGGGAACCTGGGGAGGGAGCTGGTCCCAGACTTGCAGGTAAGGGGGCTCCTGGCTCTGCCTCCCTGCTCGGTCTTGCTCTACCTTCTTCTTGCTGGCATTGCTGCACTTGAACTCATCCTGCTCACGGCTGCTTGGTTATGATTTCAAACCTGCTTTGTACTAAAGCCTCAAGTGACAACCAAATCCTTTCTATTGGTTGGGTTTCTTTTTTCCTTTTTTTTTTTTTTTTGAAGTTCTCTTTTATTTCCTTGTTTTTTTTCCCCTTTTTTCCTACCTTATTCTTAACCGTCCTTTGCTTTTGGCTTAGAGGCCCTCCCTCATGACACAAGGCTAATCCCAATGGAAGTGGTAGGGATTGACGCAGTCTACCCTTTCTTCTTTTTTGGTGTCTCAAATGACCAACTATCCTGATGAAGAAGCAAAGAGGAGTTTAAAACAAAGTACAAACTCATTTCACAGTCATGATAATTAGTAGACTCGCTCAGGATCATTTGCAACTCTACTTGGGTTTATTGCCAAGGGGACACAGTACAGTTTTGAAAGGCCCTAGGCAGCCAGGCCCACCCACTCCCACTGGCAGATGAGCCAGAATGGGGGAGAGGAGCACGGTTCTGAGAGAAGGATGGTTTTGACGGAAAATCTCGCTGCCGTCTTGCTCCCACTGCCCTCCCCGAGCTGAGGGTGAGGGCAGAGTGGAGTAGCTGTCCCAGGACTGCTTTCCTATTCATCGCCCTTGGGTGCATGACCCAGCTGCCGCCCTGGATTCTGGCTTTGGCTGCTCGACCACAAGCAAGGAAGGAGGAGCCTTGTTTCCGTATCCTTCATGGGTAGTGCGCTGCAGTTGCATCTGTGATTCATGCACCCCCATTGCATGCGCCTCATAACCAGTGTTTGCATCCTTACCTCCCCTCTCTCTTTTTGCTTTTGAGATCTTTCAGCCCATCATTTTGTCCATCCTCATTTTGGTTCTGATCTCTTCACTCTGTTATCCCACTGTGTTTAAGTTGTTTTTTCTATTCATGCTTTTCTTCATCTGATAGTTATCTCAGTCGTCTACCTTACCCACTTTTGTTTTGTTTAGCCCTCCTCCCCACCCCCACCCTTGTCCTTTGTTTTTTATTTAAAATTAAAAACAAAACAAAACAAAAACCAAATCCCTCACATGCACCTAACAGTCCAAACTGAGAGATCAGATGGAGTGGCAACTGGATCAGGAGCGAGGGGACGAGCGGGAGCACCTGCACCTCCGATCTGCACGGAAGCTGCACCGCCAAGCCTACGGGGATGCCAGGAGCTGCCAGCCGGGAGGCCAGAGCTGTTTCAATCTAGAGGTCAGAGACCTGGCTAGTCCCACCAGCCACCCTCTCCCACCCTTCCTTTTTTCTGTGGCTGGCTGTGTGACATTTCCTACCTAGATCCAAGGCCCTTAGGGAACATGGTAGGAGAATATGGAACCAGAAGGGCTTAACTAGAAACAAAACCCACTGCATGCAACTGGAACTAGAGAGTCTACACAGGGTGAATGCAGGGAACTTCCAGCACCCCATGTCAGACAGGCATCATCCTGCCTATAGACCTGTCTCTCCAGGGCACCTAGAAATGTAGCAAATGGTAGGAGACTGATTTGTGAGCATAACCTGGCTTTTTGTCAAATGGTAAAGAAAGCAGAGATAAAACCAAGCGCTGTTTTTGCTAGGCTGGAGGAAATGCTCTTCCCCGTGTCTCATGTGGCCTATCCTGTACTTTCTTGGTAACAGTGCTTCAGCCATTGGGCAGAGTGAAGGAGTGCACTCCTGACCTGGGGCTCTTCAGCAGTCCCTGTTGTTGTCCTAGTAACCCCTTGTCAACAAAGCTCTTAGGCACCATAGATACTCTCCATTGTATGAAACAGTTGTCAGCAATCCTGCCAGAGAAAGCTCCTCCATATAAGTAATTCTACCCAGGACAGAAAGACAGGTGTCACCAAGGAGTGAGTCCCTGGCTCTGATACTGCTGGTCAAGGCAGGTTATTACAGGGTTACAGAAATATATTCCACATTGGAAAATATCTGGATAAAGCATCTTAATTCATCAGTCCCAGTGGGGATGTTATACCACTCAGCTCTGAGGCTTCCCAGTGGCTCTCAAAGGGCAGGGTGAAGAAGGGGCACTCTCTCACACCTGAAAGCAAACAGAAGCTCCCTCCACTAGAAAGTCAAGCATCTGACTAGGAAATGAAGTGCACAGAGACACTCAGGGCAAGCAGTGCTTGGTCCCTTCAGCTCAGCTTGCAGCTAATGCCTCAGTTAGGCAGCAGGTCCCACTGTCAGAGGTAGGCGGGTGGGGCAGCTGGCTTACCAGACATGAGTTCACGTATTTTCAGTCTGGGGCTTTTCCTTTGTCCTGTAAGAGAGTCTGTCACATCTCTACCCTTGTTAATTGGGCACACAGTGACATGAAAACTGCCTCCAAAATGCTTAAGTAAAACAAAAATAGTTTTCAGAAACATCCTGTGTAGCCCCACTGTCTGTGTAGTGTGACAAGGAGAGATTCCGCATACTAAGGGCCAAGCACATGTCAGGGCCAAAACCCAGAAAATAAGCAGAAGCCCATCGTGCTATGTGGGGCTGCTGTGGGCAGTCCACAAAGCAGCAGGATGCCCAGGCCTCTGCCAGTCAGGAACTTATGATGCCCAGAATAAGTATTTGTGATTTTATTTTATTTTTATTTATTTATGTTTTTATTGGGGAATTGGGGAGGGGGAACAGTGTTGGAGAGTTGGGGAAGGGGAACACTGTGTTTTTCCAGGACCCATCAGCTCCAAGTCAAGTTGTTGTCCTTCAGTCTTACTTGTGGAGGGCGCAAGCTCAACTCCAAGTCCAGTCACCGCTTTCAATCTTAGTTCTGGGGGCAGGGGGACAACACGTAGTCCACCATGCCATGCGGAAGTCCAGCTGGCAACCTTGTTACACACTGAGCCATCCGGCCTCCCCTCCGCAGCTCGCTGCTGCTCAGCTCGAGGTTCCATGTTCAATCTTAGTTGCAGGGGGCGGGGGGGTCATGGCCCATCATCCCATGTGAGAGTCAAACCAGCAACCTTGCTGCTAAGAGCATGTGCGCTCACCATTTCAGCAACAGCTCAGCTCAGGCACAACTCACTGGCCCATGTGGGAATCGAACCAGTGACCCTGTTGCTCAGAGCTTGCGCTCTTAAACAACCAACTGAGCCACTTGGCTGGCCCCCAGCATTTGTGATTTTAAAAAATGCTTTCTGAACACGGGGTTTGGAAATGGAGTTAGACATATATTATAGCATATCATCTTCAGTGTATTCTCATTCCAAAATTGCAGGTAGAATGTCCTAGGTTTTATACCAGAATTAAAACAGAGCACTACATATTTGGGATTTTCCCCAAATGTGGATTTAGTGATTAGTGTAATTCTATAGAACTTTCACAGTAACCCCCTTTGATCAGCCCATGCCCCACACAGGGTCTTCATATGAGAATGCTTGTTGCTTGGGCAGTTGCAAATTCACAATTATGTACATTTCAGATGAATTGAAATGAAAACCTCAGGAAGACACATTTCCCAACCTTCATTTCACACTGTACCGCTGGCTATGTATAGCAGGGCCATCTTGCTGAGCTGGAATCAACCGTAGCATGAGCATCAGGGCCGCTGGGCTCTCGTCCCACTGTGTCCATTACTAGCTCTATTTCTCAGACAAATGCCCTATTTTCTTGTCCATAAAATGGGAGTAAAAATACTGCCCTGCCTGCATCATGTGCTTATATGTGTATGATTCTCAGATCCAATGGGCTGTTGATTGAAAAAGTACACTGAAAAGTGCTAAATGCCTTGTAAACATCAAGTATGATTGATTAATAATAAAAAGAGGGAAATATGTCCCGCCATTGAAGACTACCAAGAGGGAAAGGGTGTCACAGCACCCTGGTCATGGTACCAATTTTCTCTGCCTACTGTAGTCCTGTCTCATTTGTTATTGGCTGTTTCCTGGTCCTGTACCAGAAGCACAGCTCTGGCTGAACATGGAAGCCCTCTTCTCTTTGATATACTGTTGGAGGAGCACTGCACCTCCCTTCCCATGTGCTGTCATTCAAGGCATGTCACACAGAACCTGTTTAGTTCAGCTCTGATAAAGTGGTGATAAAGTCTTCCTGTTGCTTGCCACATACGTGCATGTTGGCATAGCTCCAGAAACTGGCCACAGAGAGAGAAAAATACTTCATGAATCAAGCTGAATGTTCTAGGACAACAAATCTCATAAGACTTAGTTGGTGCCATATGGCAACTTAGGATCACTGAACAGTACAGCTCAGAATGGAAGGTCAGATCTTCAGACTGATTCCCTCATTCTGCAAATGAGAAAAACGAGGCCTGAGAGTGAAGCAGCTGGCCAGCCAGCTCCCTGGGGCCTTAGTGATAGAACTAGGTCTAGAACGGTCTTCTCAGGCCTGGTCAGTCCTCTCCCTATCTGCCCTTGAGGAGCACTACTGTCTATGGCAGGGACTGAATAGCGCTGACTACTGCACCCCCACTCCCACCCTGGGCCTGGACACTCCCAACAAGCGCTCCATCTCCTGGGAGATGTTTCTAAACATGTATTACTCACGTGGTCTAGTTGGATGGCCAGCTATCTTGCCATGGTATGTTTCCTGTAAACATGTGTCTGGTTTCCTTTAATTTTATATATTTTAATGAGAAAGTTAAAAAAAACCCCAAAAACCTCATAGTAAAAGGCAAGGCCTAGGAAGCATCATTTCCTAGAAGGGGAATCAGGAGATAAACAATCAGGAGAAAAGTTGTGATTTTTTTTTTTTTAAAGATTTTATTGCGGAATTGGGGAAGGGGAACATTGTGTTTTTTCAGGATCAATCAGCTCCAAGTCAAGTTGTTGTCCTTTAATCTTAGTTGTGGAGGGTACAAGCTCAGCTCTGTCTAGTTGCCGCTTTCAATCTAAATATTGGGTTGTTGGAAATGTCTTGACATATTTTTTCTATGTTTTTTGTTGCAAAAATGCGTCATGACTTTTCCGACAACCCAATAGTTTGCAGGTGGGCATAGTCCACCATCCCATGTGGGAGTTGAACCAGCAACCTTGTTGCACACTGAGCCATCCGGCCACCCTTTGGCAGCTCACTGCTGCTCAGCTCAAGGTGCTGGGTTCAATCTTAGTTGGAGTTGGGGGGGTGGGGCGCAGCCCACCATCCCATACTGGTGTCAAACCGGCAACTTTTCTGCTAAGAGCACGCGCTCTTACCATCTCAGCGGCACCTCAGCTCTGGTGCAGCTCACTGGCCCATGTGGGAATCGTCCTGTGACCCTATTGCTCAGAGCTTGCGCTCTTAACCAACTGAGCCACTCCAATAAGTTGTGATTTTTGTATTCACTAAGGCATTACAGAAGAGAAAACCCAATTACATATGCAAACACATTATATTTAAAAATATTTTTTAAAGATAATACACATCCTAAGACTACTTTAATAGCTCCATAGCTTTTCCTTTCTTTGAGAAGCCAAATGTAGTCCCTTGTAGAGTATGGGTTTCTGGGAAGCTGCTCTGTCCCTTGGGTGGATATCACCCTGACAGCTTAGTTTGGTCTTTGAATATTACAGTGGGTTAAAGAATAGCACAGTGGACAGGCCTAGGGAGCAGAACTCCTAAAAGCTTTTCAATGAAAACATCCCCAAATTCTTTGCTCACAACTGCTTTCCTATGAGGCTATGATGGAAACAGTACACGAAGATCCCATCAGTTAGGGCAGCCCGACTGAGAAGCTGCTCCTGTTGAAGACACTGCAGTAATTGGAAAAAAAGTAAACAAGACACTTTCATCTAGAATGAGGACAACACTGTAGCTGGATGTACTGCTAGCGGTTTCCTTTACTCCCTCTTACACGCACTTGAAATTAACACCAATTGTACAAGCCAGCTATTACCATGTGCATATGAACTTCCTTCAGCTCTTTGCCCTTAGTTCCTCGGGGTCGGGGTGGAGCCTGATAGGACACCTAGTATCAACAGCTTGCAAAAAGAAACAACTTTCTGAATTTCAACTGAAGTTTTATAAAAAGATCAACTCCTCAAGTTCCATTTGTGAAATGCTTCTATGAGTTTTGCCTAATAGAATTCCTTGTTTGGGGAAAAAGATAAGTTCTTATTTTGGAAGATTTGGGGGCCGGCCGAGTGGCTCAGTTGGTTAAGAGCTCACTCAAGAGTTTGAGCTCTGAGCAACACCGGTTCGATTCCTGGCCTGAGCTGAGCAGCCGCTGAGCTGCCAACAGGTGGCAGGATGGCTCAGCTTAAAAAAAAGAGGAAAAAAAGGAA